CTACTTACTCAGCTATAGTTATTGTATAGTATTTCTAATTATAACTGTACTATTCTGATAAGGAAATGCTAACAGCAATACATGTGTACATGCCCACAAACAATCGAACACAATGCATTCCGCTTGTGACGCTCAAATGGCGGAATGATAACAAAGAAAGGCTCCCCTGGCCTGATCGGGGGCTTATCTGGCCAATTGTTGGGCGTGTAGTGTAGTCTTTTTAAATAAAATATAATAATAATAATATTTACTGGAAGTACGTATACAAATGCATAAGTATGTATACGTGTAAGTGTGCATTAGAAAATAGTTTTTTTTGTATAGTGAGAAGCGAGTGTGTTGACTTTGTTGTGAAAAAATAGCAAATTACATCTGTAAGTGCGTATAGTATTTTTCTTTGTTTGAAATTAATTTTATTTTCTAAATAATTTAATGCAATCTGTGCTGAGACTTCTGCGCTTGTTGGTGTTTTTTCTTATCGGAATTAAAGCAATAGTAATTTTTATCAAAAAATTATAATATTTTTTTCATTACCGAATAAAAGTGTAATTTTCCAAAATCAATTAAATTCAGCAACAAAAGATCAAGCATAAATTGCTTCCAACTGGACTTGTTAGGCTTCCTCTGTATAACTCCATTTCATTTCTTCGTCATTTTAATCTTCCCCACTCACTCCCTTGTAGTTATACACGCCATTATTGTGTTCCTCTTATTCTTCCGCATATTTTCCTTCGACGTTAAACTCCAATGCACACACACATACACAAGCACATCTCTTCATTCATTCAACGCTTCATTCAGATAACGACAGGTTGTGCACTGCTCAAATCCAACTAGCTGGCGAACTAGCTGTGTGCGTCACAAAAGCATGCCTCAACCCCTCCTCACTCGCGCGGCCGTCAGGTGTCGTGAATAACGCGCAGCTGTTTCTTTAAATAGCTCTGTGGCGCCTTTTCAATGTGTTTGTATGCACTTGTCATGCATGTACGTGTAAGCACGAGTGTGTGGTTGTTGTTGCCTATTTCTCGGCTTTTTAAGGTTCTAATGAACTTTACTAAGCTTGTGGATGCTTGCAATTTTCTTTCACATCACTCACACATATTTTTCGCTATTCTTTATTTTCTGCTTTTCGTAGACAGTTCGTCAGCATTTTTGAAGCGGCCGTTTAACCACCGGCGCCGCCTGGCGTCGACATGGCTTGTTGGATAAAGAAGTCAGATACATTGCGTGCTGTTGCTGTAATGCACTGCTTGTGGTTGTTGCCGCCGTTGTCTTTGCCCTCTTCTGCCGTTGCGGTGGGCTTTAAACTCTGAACGGCCTGTCGCCGCCATTGCAGTTGTCTTGCTTTTGCTGTTTTTTTTTGCTGTTGTTGTTGAACAACTTCAGCAAGTGGAGCAGACATCTTTTGCCGTGCCTCAAGTGTTGTCGGCGTCGTCAACCCTTTCAATTTTTTCTTCTCTTTTTCAAAACAGTCTACAAGGCTGTCTGGGCGAAAGCGTCAATGAGACAGCTGGTGGTAAGCGGGTCGAGTCGAGCAATGCCTATGCCCTCGTGTAGGCGGCTGGTTGTTTTGGAAACAATAAAAGTGTCAACCACCACATAAACTCGCCCTCCGCTGTGTACTTAACAGCATGCCTGGCAATATATGCATGCCTGTGGACGTCTTAATTACTCGCCTCCAGAGCGTCCACTCCTCGAAAGATGTTTTGTATACTCGTACATGCACCTGCATAGAGCCATATAAGTTGGTGTGTGTGTGTGCATCAGAGGCGCTATCGTTTCTATCGTTTTTGCCTACTACGCCGTTGGATTTCTTTATGTCATATAAATTTGTATGTATGTATGTATACGTGCGTATTTACTTTCGAATCTTTTTTTATTAACTTTTGCATTCCTAAATCGTCGCAATTTATAAAAAACAAAATACCAACTGGCCAAGTTCAAAGTCATTGTACGTTCAATCAAAATGTCATCCTATTCAGGCTCCTATTATTATTATTTGCTTTTGTTGTTTTTGCCCCTCTGAGACACACATTCCTCCGTGAATCACAGCCTACTGTTGGCACGATTTGCTGCATTGTGGAATTTGCATCTTTGTCATTTTGTTGACGTCTCAACTACCATCACTCAAACCTTTGACGTAAGAAAGATACCTCTGTTGAACAACAATCCAGTCTCTTCACCGTCTTTAAGCGCGTTGACAGCAGGTAACCGAATTCCTCAGCTGATAATATAGATTTCTTCTTAGTCAGGCCATTAATCCGACAAATCAGCAAGAAAAAGAAATAAATATTTGAAGCTGACTAAAACCAACTGATTGCTGTAGAAATATTGACGTATTCGTATATTACTGTGTGAAGAAGATGCGGCAAGCGAGCGCCAGCTCTAATGAAAAAGATGACAATTCCTCGGTTAAGATACCCCGCTTTTGATGACGACCACTGCAGACGTATTAAGAAATATGCTTTAAAGGCATGCGCCTGGAATATTCGGTCCCTTAATTTGAAGTTGACTCCGCTCACTTGGTTAATATTGTCGTTAAATTAAAGAATGCTGGCAACACATCTCACGCGCTTTCACGCGCAACTAACGCTTTGGCTCTTCGAGAACACTCTACTGAAGTAACAATGCCAATATTCCATTCTCTGCATATCCTGGTTTAAAAAACTTTAGTAAAGAAATTTAAAGCATTGCTGCGTAACGCGTGCCGTGTGAAAAAGATTTCGAGTGCTGAAGAATATGGTAGCGGTGGATACGTAAAAGAAGTAATGCTAAATCTGTGCGAAGCTGGTGGACAGTACATATGCCGGCATGCCTTGCAGCTTCAAAATCTGATTCTATAAGTCAGCGCTTACTTATTAAGGACTATGCCGTAGTCCATAAAACCGCTTTTACATCATCGCCACCCGAAAGGTGCGATGGAGCAGTCAAGATCACTCTCAATGCGTGTCGCTCTGCTCCCAAGGGCAGTTGTGGTTTAATTCAATGCCAGGGTGGGTAAAAAAGAAAATTTTGGTTTCAAATATGCTACTAACAGGCGTATTCTCACTGTTACCGATAAAGTAAATTTTGTTACTTTTCTTTAACATCCGAAATTGAATTCGGTATTCTGGCGAACTGGTTACAATGTTTGAAAAAAAATTGGCAGCACTGCTTTTTTCGTCCATGTCAAATTACATTTCCCAGTTCATAAAGTAAAAAGAAAAATATTCACATCAAAATGGAAGACGAAGCACAAAGAAATTAACAAGTTTTATTAATTTGTTTATTAAATCATAAATATTTGAACCTAATTATGGAAAATATGCCTGGACAACAAGAAAAGCTGAATGAAAACGTTATCTTACAAATTAAAGGGTTATTTTTTAGTCTCGAAAACTTCTTAAAATACGGCTTTTTGCACTTTTTTCTTCATCTTCAATGAATACCAAGCCTAAAATATGCCTACCCATTTTGATTTTTAGTTTTTCTCAAACAGCAAATTTTTTTTATTTACCTCCTATTTCGCTGGTAACAAAATTTGCAGGGCAACAGTGAGCTCAGAATACGAAATGGTAACAAAATTTACTGTATGGCAAATTTAATACCTAGGTAAATTTTGTTACCTCGACAGAATAGGCCTGTAAATATTTGTGTAGTGGTAATATATCATAGAAAGCGGAGTTAAATCCAACTTGTTATGGAAGTATTTATAAATGGGGTTGTGCGTCGGGTTTGGAATCTGACGCATAAAATATTAGAAAAAAATAAAAAAAGAATACTTTTTCTCATTCTCTCTTCTTCTGCTATTTTTTGGCTCTTAATTATCACTTTTTATTCACTTTTGTGGGTCATGCGTTAGGCGTGGTCGCATTAAACTCAAAGCTAATTTTTTCAGATTTTGCGAACAAATTAAAATTTTGGTAAATTAAAATAAATTAAATTAGCCAAAGCATAATGAAATGAACTCTCCTTTAGAATGCATTTCAACCATTTCAAGTTACACAATTAATCGCAATAAAAGCAGTGCAGAAGAACATTATTATTTACATACATATGTATAATTATGCCTGGTACATCCACGCGGGCGACTCTCTCCATTCATTAGGCATTTATTATTGTGTTTTCAAGGTTCGATTTGGCATGGTCAAGTTGCTTTTTCAGTTAGTTTTCTGTATGGAAAACGAAGATTAATTCAACACTTCTGGTATTTCAAAAAAATAAAAGATAATGTTTGAAGCGACTGAACTCCAACTCCCTGAGTTGTAAGCAACGAAATGGTACACATGCACGACGGAGAGTTAGCTGAAGTTTTTCCAGAATTAATAGGGTTTGGCGCAACCGTCTGGCAATGCTATTGTTAAGTTAATAATACGTTAGTGACCTCATTAAAGGACAGTTGATGTTTTCTTAGTAACGGAAATTGAAGAAAAGAAACTTTGATTTGATGGACCCACAAACGGTCACATATGTCCATTTCTTTTATCTGCTGCAAGCTTAGAAATTTTTAAATTTTCGAATTGGTATTGTTGACTGCACAGCTTCGTGCTGACGTCGCATCGAATGTAGATGCTCCGCAAAGTATGCAATGGTTTGTAAACTAGCATTTAGTGTGAAAGGATCGTATAATTGAAAGGTAATTTGTAAATTGTATTTTATCTTAAAGATTTTGCACAAATGCACGTACTCAGCATGTATATATGTATATATTATTAGTTAGTTATGTTTAGTTTCGTACATATTTCACCTGCACCCAATTGCATGCACTTTTGTTATTATTGTTGTTGTGTTAATTTATTCACCTACTCAGTAAGCTTTATGTACATAATAATAAAATTAAAATATCTTTACACAAGCATCTTACATTTTTATCGCTTTGCATGGCTCTAAGAGAATTCGGAAAGTACAATAAAAGTAATGTTTGAAGGGTGTTGTAATCCAAATACATAATAATACCCACCAACCATATTTTAATAAAAACTAATTGTTTATTTTTAACAACGCTAATACGATCGATTCAGAATTCTTGCCCGAGGAACCGCTAAATGCTTGGGTTTTGGTGGTCATCATTTTCGGCGCAACACTCTTCATCTGCCTGTCCGTTCTATTGTCCTACTGCTTTTGGCAGCGTCGCAAGCGCAACAGTCATGGGCGTACCTTCCCGCCAGATGACTCAGTATGTGATCCCATTTTGAATGGCAATACCATACAAGATATTATTGAGATGACAACATCAGGTTCAGGTTCCGGTGAGTCATGACATTTGAAATATTTATGTGTTTCCGGTTTTTATTAAATTTGTTTTTATGTTTTAGCTGGCTTACCACTGCTGGTGCAGCGTTCCATCGCTCGGCAAATACAGCTCTGCCATGCCATTGGCAAGGGTCGCTTCGGTGAAGTGTGGCGGGGTCGTTGGCGTGGGGAAAATGTGGCTGTGAAGATATTCTCCAGCCGAGAGGAGTGCTCCTGGTTCAGGGAAGCGGAAATTTATCAGACTGTGATGTTGCGTCATGAGAATATTTTAGGTTTCATAGCTGCCGATAATAAGGGTAAGTCGAAGGGGTTTCCGTTATGCATCCGAAGCTTAGCTATGACGGGTTTGAAATATTAGTAATGCATATAGTGTTACAAATGCCTTTTCCACAAGATACCTATTGCTACAGTTGTTATTCTCCGATGATATTTTTTTCTGAAAGTACTGATCTCACACTCCTAAGCTCGTAACACTTAAAACGTTATTTTATTATTTTTTTTTGTTATATGGTCTTTAATTAGCAAAGTTAACACTTTCTTTATAACAATATTCCCAAGATTTTTATTTTACCTCGGCTTCTAATAAGCAGCTTTACTTTTGTTGCCAGAAATTGAACCATATTTGAAGTTTTTATTTTCGGTGGTAGCCATTGCCAGCTCTTCTTCTGAAGACCGGTTACATATTCTCGCAATATTCTTATTTTCATTTGTTTTTCCGCACACATCTAATTTCTGTTTCCCCTCTAGATAATGGCACATTTAATTTTTGTTCTTACACAGATAATGGCACATGGACCCAGCTCTGGTTAGTCACTGACTATCATGAAAATGGTTCATTATTTGATTACCTCACCACACATACTGTGGATACGAAAACTATGCTCAACATGGCATTATCAATTGCCACCGGCTTGGCTCACCTTCATATGGATATTGTGGGTACACGTGGCAAGCCGGCGATAGCGCATCGTGACCTCAAATCCAAGAATATTCTCGTTAAAACCAATCTCAGTTGTGCTATTGGTGATTTGGGCTTGGCTGTGCGCCATGTGGAAAAGAATGATTCCGTCGATATACCCTCAACACATCGTGTGGGCACCAAGCGTTATATGGCACCCGAAGTGCTGGACGAGAGTATGAATGCCCAACATTTCGACTCGTATAAGCGTGCGGATGTGTACGCATTCGGTTTGATATTGTGGGAGATTGCGCGTCGCTGCAACATTGGCATGATATACGACGAATATCAGTTGCCATATTTTGATGTTGTACAACCTGATCCTAGTATTGAGGAGATGAAGAAGGTAAAAATTTAAGAATTTCTTTGATTTTTTTTTGGTTTAATATTTGTTTCTTTGTTTCTTTTCAACCAGGTGGTTTGCATTGACAAATCACGCCCAATTATACCAAATCGTTGGCATGCCTCCGATGTGCTGCACGGCATGGCGAAAGTAATGAAAGAATGTTGGTATCCTAATCCTGTGGCACGTCTTACAGCGCTACGTATAAAGAAGACTCTGGCTAATATAACGGTCGAGGATAAAGTGAAGAACTGATAGTAGTGCAGTGTGCAGCCATTTTGGCGTAAAATCAACGGTTATAAATTGAACTATTCAAATTGGGAAAAGATGTGGCAAAGCGCCATACGTAAGCGTGGAACTAAGCGCAAAACCCGCCTTCTCTACTCCCTTTCTTTATACTTTTCTGCTAAATTTGTATGAGATAAAAACAACAAAACAAATTAAAATGCTAAATAAGTGGAAAAGTATGGGAATAATTACCTAAAGAGAAGAGCATACCTTAAAATACCTAATTACATAATAACTAAATAAGAAAACCAAACAAAAACAAAGTGGTAAACAGAGAAATTTATAAAGCTGTTATAATTGATGCAGAGCATTCTATTAAAGCACTAAAAGTTGTATTTATAATTTTTAACTTAATATGTAATAACTTGTGTAAATGAGAACATAACGTAATGTATGTACGTGTAAGTGTGTATTAGAGATAAGAGGAGCGAGAGGCGAAAATAATTCCAACTAACTGAAAGAATCAGCCAGAAATCAATGAAATATTTGAATATAATTAAACATTTGTGTGTACGTGTGTGAATTAAGAAGAGGAAAAAAGTTGACGTCAAAAAACAAGTTGTGAATATTTGTATTGCGAAATAATTGTTGTAAGTATTTTGGAAATGTACACAATCTGAGATTTTCCAATGGCAGCTGCTATTTTATATATTTTAAGTTTAAACATACAAATTTAGTTCATTTCGGTTTCTCATTGTCATAGTCTAATTGATATATATATATTTTTTGTTTTATGATATATTTTTTTTAATTTCCCATACTTTATGGCCTTAGTTAGCTTTCATCGGCAAATTAGCAAAGTAATATGTAAACGTAAGGAGAGAGCAAAAATGTTTGTAATTAGAAATTCCTGATAATTATAAGATAAATGTAAAATGCCTACGAGAAATTGCACAAAAAACATCTAAAATATATTTCATAAAACTTTGAATGTGGTGTTCCAAAGAAAACAACAAAGTAGCAGAACATGCCTGCCACTCAAATAAGTTTGTTCGAAAAATCTATAAAAATATGTATGAAAATAATTTTCTCAAAAATCGACTTTGACAACAGCTCAACAAATGAAATTGGATAATCATTTGAGAAAATGGTAAAAAAAAGCTTAGAAACCAACGAACTTCCTAAATACCTATTTTAGAACTAATGAACTCTTCCGGATTACCTCCAATAAAATCTAAACAAAAAAACAGAATTTTCAAAACTGCCATCAACTAAGCAATTTAACTAAGCTATTTGGCAACGGTAGGAATATCTCAAACTGGTTACAATATTTTACATGTAATGTAAAAGCAAATTAATAACATTTCGAAAATAACAACGAACACATCTAACAACAACTACAAAAAAGACTCTGACTAAAGACTGATACATAAATACAGTTACAGTGAAAACCGCCATACAGTTAATTAGTACACTTTTAGAGGAATTTTTGGATCTAAACAATATATAAATATATAGAAAATATATATATATATATATATATGTGTATACGTGCATGCGAGTCATGCATATGTATGTAATAATATTTCCTTTTACAAACTCCTGTGAAATATTTTCCTTCAAATAATTTCGTACTCGCATTAAGATTTTGCCATTTTTAGAATATAATATTAAGGCACAACAAAAAAGAAAAACAGAACAAACATAAAACAACGATGAAAAACTATGTAAAGACACTTTTAAATGATAAAAAAAAACCAAAAAAACTCAGGAATCGCCAGTTTTAATATATGTAAATATAGAAAATTAACACTTGTTGACTTATAAGCTTATTGATGCGTACGAAAAAAAAGGAAATTGAAACCGCTTTCACACAAAAATTAAAACTAAACGTCGAAAAATTAGCATTTCTTGCTTTTTCCTTACGTTTGCAAAGAACAAGTTAATGCTATACAGTAAATTTAATAATTTTCGATAAAATTTCACGAGATACCTATAAGTTTGTATATTTTTTTTTGAATATAAATATACCATATACTTGTAAATTTATCAATTTTCAAAAACTGTGTAAAGTGGTTGATTAACAAAATTATATTTAACAAAGCTTATATAAGTGTGGAAAGCTTTTACTGCAATGTAACGCTATAATTTATAAGCGCTTCTTCATCAATCAATTGCAAGAACGGACTGAAGATAATTAATTTTTCACATCAATTTTTTTTTGACAGTATGAATTTTTTGAAGTAATGCCGAAATCATTTAAACGTGGCTTTTAAATTAATTATCATGAATTTTTGCGCTTTTTCATTGCAAGGTTCCTAATACTTTGAAATAAATTAGTGAAAAATTCCGTGTACATTTACAAGCTAAATATCATTTTTAGCCCATGAGTGGACCGTCAGTAGAACTAATTGTCTAACGGTGTTAAGAAACATTAAAATACTTTACAAACAAGTATATCCTTTTAAGGTTTAATGCTGTTGGCTCGAAAATGAAGAGCCCAAAGAAGTTGTAAGACGATGATTAATTTCAAAAAGTTACATAAGCATTGATTTTGAATAACGCAAACGTCATTTTTTAAATGGAAAGAATTTATTGTAAAAAATGTTATGAAAATATGAACTTTTATATGGAAGGAACTTACGTTGTAAGCGAAAATTCTACTCCAATCACACACAAATATCGAATACATACCATTTTGTAAGAAGAAGTTGAAAAACATTGGATTTTGAAGCACATTTCAAATAAATTTTATGAATTATAAACTGAAATTATGAAGGGTTTATATTAAAAAAACAAAAGTTTTGTTTCCGAAAGATTAAAATAGCGTGCATTAATATTTTAAGATGCTTTTGGTAAAAAAATTCCTTAAATACATTTTTTGGTATGTAAAATAATGTGAAAATAAAAGTAGTATACGTTTTATAACTAAAAAATTGCAAATAAAATGGCAAGAATTATACTACAGGTAATAAATTAAACCTATAAATGCCTGATAGATGTATAAAAACAGTGAACTTTTTTTTTGGAAAATCACATTTTTTTTGCAAGGTTTACTGTTTCATCAGGTATTTAAGTCCTTTCATCGAAACCTATATTGACATTTACGGCTCCTATTAAATTTAGGAATGCTAAAACTTGAAAAATTGTATCCTACGTGAAAACATGGCACCTCTTTTGGAAATATAGAGTAGCATGGACCTACAAATATATTGTAACGAATTGAATTATTTTATTGCATTAAGAAATGAAACCATCATCCTGTTAAATTTAAGTGCGTTGTTAATATTTAATTTGTTTTTCTAAATATAATTGTATAGCATTTTATTAAGTTCATTTCCATTAAGCTCCATTTAACATTTCAATTAATTCAATACTGTAAAATATAATTGTAAAGAGGTACCGTATGTTTCATTTAATTATGTAAGTATTTAAGTCTGCCTTTCTGTGTTTTACTGTTTGTTGTTATTGCGATTATTGTGTATGTGTGTGTGTGTGTGTGCACTTAGTGTTCTCATTGTATTTTGTTTTATATACATATTTCAATGTTTTCTAAAAACAACAAAAAAGTAAAATGTAATGATAATAATAATAATATTTAAGAAAAATGTTTGTTTATGTGTTCTATAAAAATAAACCATTTATTAAAATGCCTTTATTTTGTTGAAATTATATTTTCCTTTGCGTTAAAACAAAACGAAAATATATTTTTTGTTAGTTTTTGCGAGTTTTTGAATGCATTTTGAAAGAATGAAAATTTTAATTTTGAAAATTCCAATTTTTCATTGGTTATGTACACTTTCATTTTCTATTTTTCCCCACTCTGAAGTTTAGGTGTTTATGTGAAATAAGTGAAATAATATGGTTGTTAGAATTCAAACTGCTAAACTGCTGCATTTTTATAACAACTAAATATAACTGAATTTTTTAAGATTTCTACTATATTAAATAAGAATCCAAATGTATTGATTAAATTATAAATCGTATATATGACAGTGTGTTCCTCGTTCATACATACATGCAAGAATATTTTTGAAATGTAAATAACCCGAAACAAATTGTATATAAAATACACCTTAATAATTGCATAAGAAGTGTGTATGTTATATACATGCTGAGCCCTAAAAAGCGTAAGCTGTGGCATACGCAGTATTCTTGAGAATTACTAAAAAAAAATATAAAAAAATTAAACAGAAAAAATCTCTGTATGTATAAATTATTAAAGAATTATTTGCAAATGCAAGTGATTATATGAAGATATTGATAAAAGAGTCTAATGTTAGTGTTAAGTGGCGTTTTTACTGGCACTTTAAATAAAAAATAAAAAAATAAAAAATGTGTTGATCTTGTTATGCGATTAAAAACTTGTACGTAAGTATATATGTAGTATTTAAAGGTTTTTAATAATTCCAAGCCCCTCCCGCCATTTATATTCTGAGAGTAAAAACTATGATTTGGTTTTTCAAAAGCCCTTTTGGGCTTCACTAATTGCTCTTATATATTTATGTATTTGTTTTCTTCTTTATTGCACATATAATTAGTGTTTAATTTATATATTTAAATACATATTTCGAAAAGATTTTTGCTCGGAAAATAGGATTTTGTCAAATGAAAACAATTCTCATATGCTCGCTAAGCAAATGCTCTTGCTACAGTCATCTGCTGCACTCGATCTCCTTCTCTTTGGCTTTTGTTTAGTTTTGTAAAATACATATATATATCTAAAAACAATGACACATTTTTATTATGTATTAGTATGAGAAAATTATGACCTACAATATATGTACTCGTATATAAGTTTGTAATATAATTTTTCAAATTTTCATACAACAATTTCAAAATGTACACTTAAATTATGGAAATGACATTTGTTTACTCAAAGAAATGCAAGACAACTGTATTTTTTTAAATATCCATTTTTTTTTTTGATTTCATTATATCCAATTTGTTAATGTTAACACATTCAGATATACATACATAAATTATTGGTGGACTCATTGGGGGATATGCATTGGTTCGTTCAATCTTTTTTCCTTATTTTTTTTTGTTGTTTATTTTTTACAATTAAAATTTTTAATTTGCATGCTTATAATTATATTTTCTCTTTGGTTCAATAATTCTTTTGAATGCACTTAAAAGTAGTTTCTTAAACATACATATATGTGTAATTATAATACATATATTTTGATACACATTGATTTTAATATAAGTTAATTATAATATATGCCTCAGCCAGTACAATTTGGTTTAGTTAATTCTCTTGTGTGTTAGCAAATTATTTTAATTCGTTTAAACGTCTGTATGTATGTTATTTGTTAAGTTTTTATTTTTCAAAAATTTTTTTTTATTTATTTCTAATCATATATTTTTGCCGTTAATTTGTTTTTTTTTTTAATATTTCAAATAACATTTAATTTTGGAAATGTTTTTAAGTTCATTTGTATGTATGTATATTTAATAAACTTTTGAATGTATATGTATGTTTGCACATATACTCTGAGTGTACTCTGTGTAATAATACATTTTTAATACATTTATAATTCTTTGGTTATGTTTGTGTGGGTCTTAGTAACACTAAATGTATAATTCAAACTTTGTCATCAAATTTTCCTGTTCGCAATGCTCGAAGTAAATGATATGTTTTTTATTGTTTTAGATTAAATTTATTTGACATTAGTTTGTGCCGTTTGTTTTTTTAGTTTTCTTAAATATAAAGTTTAACTTTGCTTGATATGTAGCTTTGATCTTATATTTTTGTGTAATTCACTTATTATTATTTTTAATTTTACTTTTATTCTTTGCTTTCAAAATCGTAATTATTCAACATGATTGTTTCTTCATTGCCTTTATTTATTCAACATTTCTCTTCCATTTACTTGCCGCTGCGTTTCCTCTGTATGCTTGTGTAAACGTATGTATGTGTATGTGCTTGCTTGTATTGATTGCTTGTATATATTTGTTAAAGAACTGTTGATTTGTAAGTATGTATGTCTTCGTTTGTATGGTACTTCCTTCTTTCCCCTTCACGTTTAACTTTCACTGCCTCATTACATGCGCCGCTGACTGAAAGCGGATAGGAAGCGCGAATCGCGTACTTCCTGCAAGGATACAGAAAAAAAGGAGATAAGTAAAAATTGTAATTTATTTGAATTCGTTGGCAACTTTCATTAGAGAAGCAAAAAAAAAAGTTTTATCGTTTCCTACTTTTTTCTGCTTCCTGCTTTCATCAACCTTTAAAATATCCTTGAAGGAAGCTTACTTGTAGAAATTGCCATTTTCCCTGGGTTGGTAACTTCTTTTTCATGCCAATCAGTTTAAGTGCATTGAAGTATTGAGTACAACAGTGGCATTGATAGCCTCATTAAATGTCTTGTGCTTGGCTTAAGGTGATAGTGTGAGCGTTTTGCCTTTGCTTGAGTCAGTGGCTATTTCGAAGAGATCTGTTCGAAGCTTAAGCCAGGCAAACTTTTAAAAGGAAGCTCGTACTAGTAGAATGGCAAGTACAAATATATCCGTTTGGTTAGAGCATCAACACATTGGCGCCTGGTGCCATATTTTTCCAAACAGCCGCGTACCATGACCAGAGACTGTGTCTTTACGTGAGTGACAAAAGACTCTCCCGTTCCATTGAGAACTCACTATAAATACTTACAAGAGACTATAGTGACTTTTTCAGAACGAACTCTCACGTTCCCCTCAGCTTCCCAACTTTGGAGAAGTTTAAGTAGAAGGTACTTCGTCCCACGTTGTTTAAAAATGGTGTCACTGTAGAAACTCCTTATACAGAACTCTGTTTTCTCTGTCGATGATAAAGTGTCTTATTATTATTTTTTTCTTTGTCAGCTTACTCTATAGGTTTCTGCTGTTTATAAATCCGCAATTTCTTAACAACACAGCACTCATTTAGGAGTTTTACATCGGAAGCACCTTACAGTAAGCGCCGTGTGCAGCAAACGAAAAATATAATTGCAATTCACTTGTATTCTTCCTTCTATGAACTCAGGTCGGCAGGCACTTAAACCGTTAAGTTTCTCCTTATTTTCATCTTGGATTTTCTGTAGCTTATGCGCTTAGGTGATTTCGTCATCCACCACCATCATCGTCACCACCGTCGCCAACCACTTAATGAATTCACTTAAGTGTGGAATTAATTCTTGGCATAAGCTTCTCATGCACTTACACCTTCAATTGAGTTTAAGAGCTAAGCGCCTGCTTACTGACATACTTATGTATAGAGTATACAAATATACAACTTATACCTATGTACTTGTCTACATATCATATTATATACATGCAAATACCTCATCTTCCGACGGCATTATGTCGATGCACATGAAAGGATCCCGGAAGTAAGCGCATAATTTGCGTGGACGCATGCGATGGTGAGCCCGTTGTAGTCGACAGCATAGGCCACTGCAAAGAATTGGTTGTGTGGGAGTTAAAAAGAAATGCAAATGGGGTATTGAGTCTATTGTGAGTATAAATGGATTTAAAATTAGATATTTTACAGGCAAATAAGATAAATGAGAAGTCTAAAAATAAATAACAAATAATTCGCCTACGATGAAGTTTATGCCAGTTAAAATACCAGTAACATTTTAGGACTAAATTTCACTTATTCAACTGCAGATTTTTGCATTCTTCCAGCTTGCAGCATTCATTCTGCCGGTAAAAACTTATAAACATCATGTGAGGCCGAAAAAATATATATGTCAGGAAATGCTTCATTTGACGCAGATGACACTGGTATAATTCTAGCCTGCAGTGAACTAGTAGCAAAATAATACTACAGTCCTTTTTAATGGCTTTTTTCAAACATATTTACTTTTGGATAGAGAGCTAGAAGTGCAAGCAGAATATGAAACTATCCAATCATATGGGAGATAGGTTGTTTGTGAATCCATGTTACTATTTTCGGCGGATGTTGGGATATCACTGTTGCATCAGATTTATTCGGTGGGTCTTAGTCGACAGATCGGTCAAAATGAGATGGTATTTTATACGGGAGTCTGGCCTATTTTGGACCTATGTAGGACTTAAGTCACCTCTAAAAGTAGCATGGCTATGAAGCCATTTTAAGCTCTGTTGATCAATTTTTTTCAACTTCTTTTGCGTTTAATGTGGTCATCCCTCGATTGTCTTTGATTGCAAATTATCATTATTGGAAAATAAAGATTATTGTTACTTTCAATCTGTTCGTGACATATGTAGAAAGTACAGTGAGATCTTAAAGTATTGAAATCTTCAAGGGTAATGTTCAAAAACCAATTGTGAATTCTTATAAGTTTTTGGGTAAGGCTGTCGAATTTGTATGCGAAGCTCATATTGTATTAAAATCAAATATTTCTATTATTAAATTCCACAAAGCAATGAAATATGAAACGAAATGCCACATAATTGTTTGGTTTACTTTCACGAAAGAGTTAATTATTTGATTCGGAAAGGTCGCATTTGTGAACATTATTTTATTTATTTTCCGTTAAAACCAAGTCATCGCTCTAACTTTATGAACTTAATGAGAGCAATCCATCTCTAATCTTGCATTTGACTAAAATCGAAATAAATTCTTCATAGACTCCAATAAAAACAACATCTACGTGGTAATCTAAGCTGTTATCAGTGTATTCAACCACCACACGCACATATTCCACTTACTTGGCCACATTACAGTCGCTAGATGTTGCACAATCCTCGCCAAATTGCTTTACATTCAACGACATCTTGGGAGCAGTTACAATATTTGCGCCAACAGCGTTATTGCCGACACTAGATACACCACCAATGCCAACATCGCCACCACCACCGATGCCATTCAATAGATGAGTCGTAGATGCACTCGGTTGACACATCAGATTACCAGCTGCGCTTTTCAAGCATGACATGCCCAGCTCACAGTCCGTATTGCGATGGCAAAGATCGCGTTTACGACCATAAACGTAAATACATTTACCTTCTGGGAATTAAAGCATGCGAGTGAGAAAGTGAATATAAAAATGTTGATAGAAAAAAATTAATTTTACAATTTTATCGCCCGTCAGCGCGCAGTGACCTTTCGCTTGCCAACTGCGATACATTAACACATCGTCAAGCTGTCGAATGACAGCTGTTACATGTGCTGTGTGTACACATAAATGTTTCAAAATGCATTTGTTTACACACCCACATACGAATTTATCAACGTATATATATATATATATATGCATGTGCGCATTCACTTACCGCCATAGGTATTGACGCAGACACCTGTAGGACAGCAATCATCATTGACTTGACATGCGCGATCTACGCAAGGTGTATCCTCTATTAGTGGTTCCACGATGCCATATATTTCCGGCTGTTAGACAGAAACATACATACATATGCACATATCAGTAAATAAAAAAGGCGCTTATGTGCAAAGATAAATATAAAGTAATAGTAAATACACATATATAAATATATATATATATATATAGATTCTTAAAACTAAATTTGCTCATCCCGTTTATGTGCATGCATATTTGTATATACTCGTACATAAATATATATTAAAATTCAATTTACGAAGCCACAGCAAAGTTCGCCCACATGAAAGTCTATACACATCCCCGCATATGCATGCCCGTATGTGTTCCTGTATGTCTGCAATTTGTGCTATTAATTGCGTTGGTTGTCAGTAGCAAAGTTTGAAATTGTGGGGAGAAAGGGTAACAAGAACAAAGTGCTTGTGTCCGTACACCATGACGTATGAGTGATGTGTAATTTCATTGCTCAGTTGCTGCCTGCTGCTGCGACTGTGCCTGTTGCTGTCGCTTCCATATGCAAACCTTTAATATTTGCACCATGAATGCGTTTAATTAGAATTATACATACATTCATACGAGCAAAAGAGGTTATGTATAATTGTAATTAAATTTAATGGGAAAAATGTTGCTAAATCTCTTGCATTCATCCCTGAAAAAACCAATTTGCTTGCACAAGTATGTAAACTCATGTTTTAACACATAAACTTGTTGACGAAAACATAAAAATTTAAGGTTAAAAGTGGAGTAAATTCTTTGGAAAGTTCTTCTCTTTTCTATTAAACAATATTGAGCTTTATCTTGTTTTATTGATTGATTTAAGGTCATAAGCGAACATTTTTCATGGTTTAAAAAACTCCGGAAAACTGGCAAAGGCAATGCTCCAGCCTATATATAGTATATTATATATTAAGCTGGCTCTGGACTGAGTCGATTCCACTTTACTGAGTTTGGGGAGATGGTATCTTAGGAGTAGATTCGCCTTCAATGCATCCACAATAATACTAAGTTCTGCCTACAATATACCCCCCGCCGAATGATGTGGCGGCACGACATCACGGTGGGGCTTTAGACAACATTTAAAAGTGCTAAAAGCTCTGAGACATGCGATGGTGACGGTAACGCTCGCTCTGCCTTTTCATTGCCTTCTTCTTTACCCGCAACAGTCTGTTAATTGCTTCTTTGCGGATTCTTGGGCTTTGTGTTGACAAACTTTATTTACTTAATTGCTGCTTGACTATTTACACAAAAACCTGATAGAGCTTCCTGTTAAAGTCACTTGGCATCTCGTGTAATGCTCACAATCTCTGCTTGTATGAGAGAGTTCTAGCCATTGAGTTTGAAGCTCGCTTGGTTATTGGGATTGTTACAGAAGAACTCTCCTCCTCTGCGTGCCTCGCAGTTAGACCCTTAAGTATAGATATGAATGGCTTGACTAATTTCGATGGGCTCGCATCTCCTTGCTTGGCAACTACCCGGCAGCAGGCTTCTGTTTTTGTCCTTCACAATTGGTGTTCTAGACCCAGTTTTTTAGTGCAATTAGGATTCACTAGTCTGAATTACATCCATTTTCTTCATTTCAAGAACGACCTTAAGAGCTAGTGTGGCACTTCTTCTTTAGTGTCGCCCAGCACACTAGTTCTCCATATGTTGCTATGGGTCTGATATATATATATATATGTAATATATATGTATATTTAATTTTCTTCATCCTTGATGAACGTATTACTTTACATAAAGTTTTTGTATCACCCTAATCGGAAAAAAATGTAGTGCATTTATAGGCGCGCACATACATACATATGTATGCATTTAGGTGAAATGCCAATAAAATTGATTGATTTGTGGTCAACATATTGATTATTTTCCATGACCAATTTTCGAATTAATTTCGTAGCAATAAAAGGATGTAAAATGCAATTAAAGAAAAAGAATTGAAAAATAATTTATTTTGTTTTGTCTTATGGCTTACATACGGATATGCATGTTCAAATGATATTTCTTCTTAATGAAGAATTGTAAATTGATTCACACATACAAACATGCATGATTATATTTCAGTTTTAATTCAAAACTGCAATAAAGCTTTAAGATATGCGTAAGAAATTGTGTTGAAAATATAAAAATAACTTTGAAATCTTGCTCTCTAATTAGGTCATTTCTTCAAAACGGTTGAACTCCCCTTCACCTTTCCAGAGACTTCTTTCCTTTAATTAGTTATTTCTTTAATTACGTTTTCTTGCCTTTGTTTTACGTCTCTAGTAAACTAGCCTCACACACAAGAACTGTTGAACCTCAACACTTTCCGCCACTAACATGCCATGGCAACACTTTGCAACTTTGGTGGCGAAAGGTGCAAAAGAAAAAAACTTTTGCATTAGAGTTTGTGCAGCTCACTTTAATTACCTCCTTTGCACTCAACAAAAAGTTCGCTCAACCTTTTTTCAACCACGATAATATTTTTTATTTGTTTTTCCTTATTAAACTACCACCTCTGAAACACGTAGGACTGTTTTCTGTGATGACAAAATGAAATTGAATGCAACTCACCTGCTGTTGACCACCACCGAAACCGCCTGTGTCCACATCGTAGCCACCACCGAAGGCCGGAAAACCAATGCCTGCTGCACTTGCAGTTCCGCCGCCGCTGTCTCCGCCACCTCTATTGCCAACTCTGCCGATATTTGCGCCGCCAACGCCTACGCCACTATTGCCGTGCAGGCTCATATCGTTACTTAGTCCGAAGATTGCGTTGAAATCGTCAATTTGCTGTGCTTCGCCTGTGTTTCCGCCAAAACCAACACCACCGCCTGCGCCGGCTGCACCGTCAGCATTACTCCGTAACCAGTTGCGAGAGTAGCGATTGAAGAACTGTCGATTCCAGGCGTCGACGCTGTCACCCAACAGCAACACGGCACCAACACCGGCTAGCAATAACCAAATCAAAGTGGATTTCATGATGTTGGAATAAAGTAGTTTCCCTTGTACGAGGTGTGTAGTTGTTGAGTATGTCTGTATTTGAATGTATGTTTGTGTGCTGTAAGTGTGAATTTGAACGTATGCGGTTATTGGCTGCGTTCACGGGTTGCGCTGCGGCTCTACCATATGGGCTACTGTTGCCGGAAGCATTGGCAAGTACATGAAATGAAAGAAATAGGAAAAAATAAGAACATGTTGAAGAGCGTGAAAATCGCTTAAATTTAATTTGACTTCGTTGCAGTAGAGGAATTGTTGTTGCTTCGAGCACACGCTGAGACCGCTGTAAACCTTAATGAATGTTATATAGTTGAAATGCTTAGATTGGGGAAAGACCAGCGACTGAAGTGGATGGTTCCTCTAAAAAAAAAGTGGGAAAGGGCAAGAGAACTAACCAAGTTAACGAACCAACGTATCCAGACCTTCACTAACATCGGGTATTGCACAAGTCCGATTGATGTTATTAATTTTACTTGTGCCAAAGCGTGCCAAATAATCAATAGAGGTCTACCTTCTTGTCTGTTTCATTAAAACGTGATCCTCATTTACTTATCGACCCCACAATCTGGAGATTCTTCAGGTTTATAGCAGTTGATTATAGGGCCCAAACTTTGATATAATTCTCCCAGTATACACCGTAAAGTTTGGCGAGCTCTTAGATGCACTTCTAAAGGACTGATGTCCGAAAGTGGGGAGCCACGTATTTGGTGCTAATAAAAGCGACTCTCTAGATGTATGTTATAGCAGCTGCACGCCTTTGAGAATAGCCAACCTTCTACTGATTGCGGCGGAAAATACAATAAAATAAATAAGTATAAAAAGCCAATAAATTTCCTTCTGTTTGTAGGTAGAAAAATATACTACAAAAATGTCTGGGGTTCCTGGTGTCTTCTTCAAGCCTTAGAGACGACAAATACAAATTTTCCTCTCCTGCGTTTTTGCCAGTGCTTTGTACATATCGAATTTGAATATTTTATTATAATGAAATATTTTCTTTTTGGCGAATTTCAGACAATTAAAGGCATTTCTGAAGACGTCTGCACACAAAATTTCCGTTTATTTGTTTATTTGCATGCAAATTATGATCCCCGTGAAATCATGTTGCTAAAAGCTTTTTAAATCAACACATTGTGTTTTATGTTATCTAACTGTTTATGTATGCAAATATGTATGTGCATTTGCATATACATATGTTTATTCCAGAAAAAACAACACAACTACGCATAAATGTTACTCCCAATTCATCGCTGCGCCTGAATGTATGCCACACTGAGAAGCCAAAGCACTCAAGCAACAAAGAAATATTTTCTTGCCTTCATATGCCTGTTGCTTCACTGTTATGGAAAGAAAGCACTAAACAGTACAAAAAGGAAAATGAAAAATTAAAATAATAAAACCACATTATATGCGTAAAGAGTTATGAAAATGTTATAAAGACTGTTTTATTGCTGTAAAGAAACGATGAAGGAGATTTTATAAAGCTTTGCACATTGCTATATATATGTTCATTTACATAAAGTTAAGTTTGTTAAGTTCGAGAACTCTATGTTGACTTGAAGAAACTGCAAAGAAATTGTGGGAATAATAAACTGAACTTTTCAACTGCTTAAACTCATCCACTCGGGCACTCCTTCGCTCACGGCGGCGACCGCAGTAACAAGAAGCACAGAGAAAGAAGCGTACGTTAATGGCATAGCAACAATGTTTGTTTAAAGGCAAATGTAAATTTAAATGGTTATTTGCAAGTTTGTTTACCTTTCGTTACCCTCGCCCGTACTGCCGTAAAAGTTTTCTTCTTCTGATAATTTATTGTTTTATTTCTCCGCTACTCTTGCGTTCTCTTATAGGGCTTGCGTGTAGGTATTCATTTGCTTGCTTCTTCCGCTTTGAAAAAGTGTTGTGGCGTTAATTTAAATATAATGCATATATGTTTGTATGCATTCATGCGAGTATAGGACTCGCTCTGTTTTGATTGGCTTCTGGCCATTCATTCCAATGTTTTATGACCGTAGTTGTAGCGGGAGGATGAGAAAGCTACTAGATGAGTGAGTATTTTTTTTTTGGTCTACGAAAAAGCAATCGCCGTTAAAGATATTGTTCAACAATCACTTCATTATTATTTATTATTTGTGCTTTTTCCTGCTGCAGTGGAAGAATTCCTTTACCGCATGTTTGTCACACTCTCTTTTCTCTGACAAGGCTAATCCGAGGAAATAAAATCTGTACAACTCAATATTATGTAGAGAGTTTTGAACCAGAAGTTAGTTAAATAATTAGCCCTGACTTGGCCTAGGTAATACAAAGATTGGCCAACTTCTTCTTCCAGTATGGCGGACACCTGTTACTCCTTCAAATAGAGGACGATGTGCCGAGATCAAGGGTTCGAGTATTTGAATAAATAAAAAAGCATGCAAAAAAAAATTACATCTAAAAAGTTCAAGTTGGATCTAAGGTTTTCCGATAATTAATTTGCCAAGAATTGAAACAGCAAACCTAGCCGTTGCTCAAATATTTCATTAAATATTTCCAATTTATTTTTCAATTTCAAGTAATGGGAATACAATGCAAAAAAATAGAAGCTGTTAAGCTGATAAAAGAAACATGAAATCAATGCAAATTTTTATTTCTCAACCCTTTATTACTTTCCCCCTCAAGGTCATGCTGACATGTACATTTATTCAACTTAATTGCACAAGCCACGAGTTTACCCTGAGTACTTTGCTCAATATTAATATATATTTTGTGCATTTTTAAGGATATTTGTTGTGCAATGCTTGCAGCACACTACAATTACACCCACGGACGCAAAGGTAATAATAACAAGTTTATCTCTCCACATGCATAAATATATTTGTCCGTTTATTATGGCTTCATGTATTACAACAATACGTCAGTGATGCCGACCTCACGTACTACATGTTGTTGATTCGCCTTATCTGAGTCAACAACAATAAAATAGATATGTCCTTTGCAAGGAAGTACTTTTACATGGTCTGCTTCCTATTTTATGGTCATTTCAGTTTCATAGTTTTTTTTTCAATTTCACTAACAAGTTGCATAATAATTGAACTCCTACGGATACTCATGCTGATATTGTTTGAACATACAATAGATAAATCGTAAACAGTAAAAAGTTATTAATATTTTATATTTGTTAATTTAATTTTTATTTCTTATATCTTTTTAATTGGTATTAATTTCCTTTGTTTTCTTTGACATTAACATTGTAATTTAAATTTATTTCATTATATTTATTTACATTTATATTCAAACTTTATAATATCTTGTTTATGGATGAGTGCATAAGTTCGTGCCCGATTCCGCTGGATGCCGTTCGAATCGTTTGACAGTGGCGCTCGTGAAAGAAATATATACATATTATATATCGTTGGAAAGGTGACAGTCCGAACTGTAAATCAAGCATAAAATAATTTCATTTTGATTTGAGTTGCTTAGTGAAAAGGCGCATGGAAGATGGACAACGAAAAAGATCATATGCGTCATATTATACGAATTCCGCAAAGGAAAAACAGTAGGCGCTGCAACTAAAGATATTCGCGAAGTTTATTTGGACCGTGCTCCAGCACTCCGCACAGTAAAGAAATGGTAAGCAAAATTTCGTTCTGGAAATTTTAACCTCGAAGATCAACCTCGCAGTGGACGGCCTTCTGAGCTTGATGACGATGTTCTAAGGACTTTAGTTGCGTATAACTCACGTATTTCGACGGAATTTTAGTTTAATATATTCCATTCTACTTTATGGCATTTTATTTATTTTAAATGCGTTTTGTTTTATTTTATTTCAAAAAATATATTTTATTTTATTTATTATTTTTTTACATATCATTATTAATATATAGCTTCTATTTTTTCCTTCTATTCGATTAAGAATGATATCAATAATTTAATAGAAATAAATTAAAAGCTGATATATTTGTAATGTAACATATATAAAGGGACAATTTCGTCCAAATTTTTCAAGAAGAGAAGAAAAGTGCCAAAATAAATAATTAATGAAATTTGCGTAAAGCGTATTTTTAGATTAAATTAGGAAAGCAAAAAGAGTGAAAATAGTCCAAGCGATATAGCGGAAGGTAAGGGACAAATATCGATATATATAAAGTCCCAAGTAAAATATTTTTGTACACCATTCAAATATGGTTCGGTTGAGTTTTTACTTCCTAGATTAGAAGTAAACAATAAGGACGTCAAATGCCCAGATACGTACATACATTTACCGTTTCTGACCTTTCCGGAAGTGCTATATAATAATAACCAACAAAAATTTGTACTTTCTACACCATGTCCATAGAGTTTCGTTTTATTAAACAGTTAAATTTTTTGCGCCTCCTTCTATCATTTCTTGCCCCCTCCATTCCTTTGTAGTATACAAATTCTAATGAATATGCCGTTTAGTTTCTGTTGCACAAACTCTTGCCTGATAATGTCCGTTTTCTCTTTTCACGTAGACAAAGTTCTAAGAGTTGAACTTGCTACATATAAATATTTTCACTGTCCTTCACTACTTTCGCTAGGCACTTTGGCACTCATTGAATGAAACCGTAAAATGTCATTAGGCTGCTATCGTGTCACAACGTGAGCGGCTTGTGCTATGAGTAATTTTGAAGTAGTTCACAAAAAAAACGATGGCTGATTGCAGTGGTGAGATCGCGTTAGAAATGTTTATTCGAAATTAATTTCCTTAAATTTTGGATGGCGTAAAATACATTTGTTTCACAATTAATTAAGCGAAAATAAATTTGTAACCAGGCATAAGTAAGAAAATAACAGGAGGAAGGCATTATTTGACTACCCATATCTAACTAGTTTCACACCGGTCAAAAGGTAACAGAATATCGGTAGGTACCACATCAACTTACGTTTAGCGGTGGGTTAGTTAACTTCACAAGGTATCCAGAGAGCTTATGCATGTACAAAGATACATATATACTCATATAAAAAAATATTTGAAAATAACACTAAAAACATGCAGCCCTCATACATAAGTACTTGTACACGTACATATACACGCACGAGGCAGGAAAAAAGCCACACAGTGTTGACCTTAAATGTGACACCTGTTTGGGACTTTCAACTTTGGTTATCCATGTGTATGTGTATGTATGTTTATGTGGCT